AATAAGATCCACTAAATTTATGAAAGTTGAACAGTTCGCAAATATCTTGCATCGGTAGGATTTAGACTCTAAACTTCAAGGTAGGGTATTTTGTTATCTTGCACATTTGACTTTACCCCAGCATCCACAAGGACCATGCCATTTTTCATTACTTGATTTCAGGGAGTGGATCTCCGGCAGTACTCCAAGCAGATCGAATCTGAGCTTCAAGCTGTCGAGAATGCCTCCATCCAGGACTGTATCCTTTTTAAAACAAAAACCCACTCCCTGCGTAATTCAACAGGCCAGTTTCTCCAAAATGTTCACTTGTGCTGTAAAGTGTCTTGCTCATGGACACCGGGCACCCTGGTATTTCCTGAGATTTAACTCATAGAAATATGCAGCATTCACTGTTCCCTGACTTCTTTGACATCACTTATCCTCAGACATCAAAGAGAGCCAGAATATTGCCAGTCTTCACAACCAGATTTCAGCCTGTGACACAATACTGGAGGTAAATGGACTTATGTTTAATAGAGTTTGGCAGATTGTGTGAAGATAGGGTCAAGTGATAAATTATGATTTTGCTGCCGTATTATGCTAGGATTAAATTACACCAGGTTAAGGCTACATCATAGTAGTTGTTAGCAGCAAAGTAAATCCCAGTCCAAGAAATTGCACCAGGAAGGCCTCTCTTCCTAGTTCTTTTCTAACACTAACATGCCTCACACATCCCCATGTACTTTTGTAAGCAGTCTCCCTGAACAACCCTCCAATGTCCATTCCCATCCAGGATCCAATGGTGCACTCTTTGTACTTGAATTTGGACTCAAATTTAACCAAGATATCCTTGAAGTTCCTTTGTCATTTTTCACCCACTGTTAGGACTATAAAGAGTACCTTTAAAGTACTTGTAGCCAGTGATTAGTACCTTTGAAGAATTTGTCATAGCTTAAAGTACTTGTCAAGCACTTGACTTCAGCACCAGCCCTGATTATTCTCTTTCCTTTCCAGAGGATGGAGGAGATGCTGAACGGGTTCCAGTCAGACCTGGGCAGTCTGAGTGCCGAGATCCAGACGCTGCAGAACCAGTCCATCGCCATGAACATCAAGCTGAAGAACCGGCAGGCGGTGCGGGGCGAGCTCAGCCAGTTTGTGGACGAGATGGCTGTCCAGGAAACCATGATCAAGTGAGCCGCAGCCAGGCCCTCGTTCGCATTGACTCGGCTATGGCTCACAGTGATGTTTGTGCATATAGAAGCTGCTGTCTAGTGGCTGTAGCCGGTCCCCCCCATGTGCATTACTTCAAAGCCATAGCCAGTTGACTGGGACACAATTTCTTGAACGGACTTGCTTATTGTTGGAATGATGCAAAACATCGAGCACTCTAGAGATTTTAATATAAATATGATCTGATCTAACTGGAAAGACTCGCTGCGCTCACTGTAAAAGCCCTAGGAATATGAAAGCCTTTTAAGCAGTTGCACCTGCTACTTTGTCTTCATAATCAGTTTTAAATGCTGAAATGTGAAGTGTTTGAACCAAAAATGAAATATTCCAAACTCCAGCCTTACATTAGGCAGTGAGATCTTTCTGCATTAGGGCATGGAGCCACATCAAGCTTAAGGTTCTTAACTCAGGGAACTTAATTCTGAAGCCAGAATCTAACGATTTAGACAAAGTCTATATTTGGAACAACCAGATGTTCCATAGAGGGATATTCGTCAATGCGCTTGACCACCTGTCGTTTATCTTATTACAGCCACATCCTGGACACCCCGGTCACGGAACGCCAGTTCCTGGAACAACTCCACGAGTTGAACCATAAGATCAGCTTCGTCAAGGAGCAATCCTTCAAAGATGCTCTATCCTGCAAGGACGTGCAAGACATCCTGGATAAGTTGAAACTCAAGGTATTGGTCTAATGCACTTGACACGTGCACCGACGAGGGCGCTGCTCATCCTATTGGAAAGTGGAGCATTTTGAAAGAAAGAACATTGTGAAATTGTTTATATGCTTAGAAACCTCTATGTGTACGTTTTTGTACACTTACAAACACTTTGTTGCCAAGTTTTGAGGACTACTTTAAGTGAAGGTCTTTTTTTTTCAGGCTATTGCAAAGATCCGGGAATTCCTTCTTCAGAAGATTAACCAGATGAGGAAACCGATGACGAACTACCAGCTACAGCAAAACACGATGCTGAAATTCAGGTGGCAGAAAAGTTTGCATTAACCCTTAAGTTTATTTCACAGGATAGAAATGCTGATCACTTCTGTACGCACGGATATTTTATCGTTGGATATTTGCTTGCCATATTTGTATAAACTTAACTGAAGGAAATTCCTGCAGCAATGCAGTTGTAGCTAACACCCATGGATTTAGTTGTTTTATGCAAAAAGTGCCCCCCGAGATTAAACATGGAATTTGCTAGTCACTTGAAATTTCGAGTTGAAGGCCTTTGAAAGAATTTTATACAATGTAAATCCATTGATCCCTCAGCATTTTTTTCATCCACAAAATGTCTCTTGTCATCTGGATAGCGATACATCAAACAAAGAGATCAGTTTTCTTTTGCTAATACAAAGTGAAACGAAATTATCGAAAGAATGGCATTGAGACTCATTCTGTAGGATCTATTTGGTAACAACTCGCATCGGTGTCAAACTTGTCTCCAACAGGTTTTTCTTTGAGTTCTTACTGTCCAACGAGAGGCAGGTCGCCAAGGAGGTTCGAGACGACTACGTAGACACCATGAGCAAAGTGTACTACTCATATTTCAAGGGCTACATCAGCAGGCTCATGAAGCTACAGGTGAAAGGTCGCAGGTTGATCAAAACCCAGGCTATGACTATGGCTTGTTTTGAACAATTTATCACTATGACTTTTATAGTCTTAGCCGTAGCTCTTTCTGTGAAAAACGAATAAATATAAAACATTTTTTTCTGTTTTAGTTAGTTGATTTCTTTCAGTTGATTTTTGTGTCGAATGATGCTTGTCTTCTTTTTTTCAGTACGATGAGGTAGCCGACAAAGAAGATTTGATGGGCGTGGAAGACACGGCCAAGAGAGATATCCTTTGAAGAATTGGTCTCTACATCTAACTCCAGCAGTTTTTCCACTGAGTACATGACACTGACTGCAAGCACAATTACCTCATTTAAAGTAAAAACCCTTATCTAAGGTGGTATGCATTGATTTCCTGCATAAAGTTGGTGCCCGTGACTTGCGTTCATTGAAAACCTGTACAGTGGCTTGTGTTATAGTCAAGACCCATCCAGACTATCACAGGACCAACATCAGACCTCCAGTCTGAATTTAGCTCACCAGCTATTCGAGTGAATTGCAACAAAAGGACTCTGTTGTCACCATGTACTTGTGACTGATCCTGTAAATGGTCTAGTACCTGGTCTCGACTGTAATACTGACTGTGGCCCCTTTGATGTGGCACCAGCATCTAATACAAAACAAATCAGTGGGTGTCTCCTTGACGATTCACACGATTCTTCTCCAAGCCCTCCCTGAAAAACAGGTCCACCGTCTTCACGCTGGGGAACAGGGGAAGCATCATCACCACCAACCTGGAGTCACCGATCATCATTCCACACGCGGCACAGAAAGATGAAGCCAAGGTGATTTGACTGTGATGGGGAAATTCACCGAACGAGCCAAAGAAAATTTGCAAAATTTCATCCTTGCTCAAAGTATTTCTTTCTTCACGAGTTGGGAGAAATTCTATTGTGCCAAACATTGGTAAAATCAAAGTCAGAAAAAAATTCCCTGAAAAATGTAGAATAATCCAAGGGAATTTTTGACAATAATATGCATGAAAAAAGGGAATTCGAAGTTTGACTACATCATATAGCAGTCTTAAAGCCAGCTCATACTTTTGGCAATCACGAAAGGGAAGTGAAGTTGACGTCACAAAACATTAGCAGCAAAGTTTGCTTGAGTGCAGATGTGCTCAACTTTTGCAACTTTTCAACAAGAATATATAAAATGACACCGCAAATTTGGGCTTGTGCTAATTTTTGCGCATACTGTGAGCCAGTCTTTATAAAGGAGATGGTCCGCCAACTGGTTGGAAACATTTTGCTTAAATAGTTGCCTTTAATGCCATCTGATTTTTTTCCGTACCTTCTTCTCAGCACACGTTTGAGAGTCTTTGCCGCAGCCAGCATTACGCCCTGCTCGACAACTGTTGCCGGGAGTATTTGTTTGTTTGTGATTTCTTCATGGTTTCCGGCTCCAGTGCACAGGACCTGTTCAATGCCATCATGGGCAAGACATTGTCCATGTTCTTGGTGAGCAAAGAAAACATCTCTGTCAAACAATTGCCAACAGCTTACGATGTTGTGCAAGTGCTTTTCTGCCCCTTTTGTTTTTTTGTCCCATGTCATTGGCTGCAAATCTTAAGTTCTTAAGTTTGAATCCCTCTTTATTAAAGTTTCCTGGCTCAAAAGTAATGAATACGTAAAAAGCAAACCCATTCAATTTCCCCTAGTGTTTTTATTGGTTGGTCTTTTTTCTTCAGAAACACATGGACATGTACACCAATGAATGCTTCGATTCCATCGCCATCTACCTGTGCATTCACATCATCCTGAGGTATCGAATGCTGATGCACAAGCGGGCTGTCCCTGCACTGGACAAGTAAGAGAATCTGAAATTGTGGACGTTATAAATAAGTCTTACCTTGGTGAAGCGAAGGCAGTGAGCGTTCTTGAAACTCGATCTTCATGTGTGCAAAAATCACATAGTTATTTTGTGCAAATTCCAAACCAAATGTGAACAGAGCCATTGAAATTAGTTAATTAAATGTGAGTTAAAAGAGCAGTGGTACTCAAAAGATTCCAGAGTCATTTTCAGTAAAATTTTGTGCACATTCAAATGAAAATTGGCAATATGCTTGCAGCATTGTCAATACATAAATACACGTTCATGCGCGCAATGGATCATTCTTTGACTTGAGAAGGCAACATAGTGCCCTCTCCAGTGCATACACAGCTATGCTGATTTTGGAGTTCTTCAACCTCGGTAGGTACTGGGAGACCCTCTTAGAGATGCTGTGGCCTCGGTTTGAGTACATCCTAGAGCTGAACATCCACAGCATCCGGGAGGCCGACCCGCAGAAGATGGGCTCCATTGACATCAGGCCTCACTATGTGAGTATCTCTTCCAGTGTGTTGAGTTTTCAGTCACTTGGTACCAGACTTAAAATGGTCACTTTACTCACCACGTGAGTTGCATGACTTTAGATGAACCTAAGCTTTGAGTTTAGTTCTAGATTTGATGATCGTTTTCCACTGAACCAGAGCCGTGCAAGCATGGCCTTGAGCCTGATTCTTAACTTCAAGTTTCTCAGTTGTAGTCATGAATTACTTTGAGTAACCTCATTCTCCTGAGTGCAAGACTGAAGTCACTTATTTCAATGCAAGTTCAAGTTCGAGTCACATTGAGGTTGAGTTCATTTGAAAGTTCAGAGTGAGTTTAAGCAAAGTGGCCCATGACTTAAACTCTGCCCTAAAACATAGTGTATTGGTTTGATTCCATTTGACAGATTACCCGTCGTTATGCCGAGTTCTCTGGCGCCATAGTCAGCTTGAATGAGACCTTCCCAGATGAGCGAGTCAACCGTCTGCTGGCCCGGCTGATGGCCGACGTGGAGAACTTCATCCTGAGGATGGCGGCCGAGTTCCCTGAACGAAAAGAGCAGCTCATCTTTCTCATCAATAACTACGACATGATGCTCAATGTCATCAATGTAAGCCACAGACTTCCTGCTCTCCATTCTTTTTTGCTTTTTGCAAACTCAACCGAAATACAAGTTCTAAAACGATTAAAGATATTTTGCGCCGTGCTCTTTGCTGTTGCCTGGTTCCCTGTTTAGTTTTGCATAGATCTCGTTTTTTACTAAGCTCGTACAATATTTGCCTATTCAAAGCGGGTTACCAGGCAGAAATGTCGTGCAATTCCTTACTGCTTATTGACTGGTTTCCTGTCAAATTTGGCTGAACGTTTGATTTTGCCGAGTACTTGAAAAAGATCAATTTGTGTCTTGCACCAGGAGCGGACAGCAGAGGATTCTCGTGAGTCGGACAGCTTCCGACAGCTCTTAGAGGCCCGCACGCAGGAGTTTGTGGAGGAGGTCCTTCTGCCGCACTTTGGTGGAATGATAATGTTCGTTAAGGATGCCGAGTCTAGGCTAGAACGAGGACAGGCCGACCAGATGAAGAGCCAAGAACGTGAGTTGAATGAGCTGGGGGGGCCCAAAAACAGACAGATAGAAATGTATACTTTTGGAATTTGTGTGATTGAGCAGACAGTTTGTAAGCGGATAGGAATAGAGATGAGAGGTCTGTACAAGGAGATTTGCAAGGATTGGCTGTCGGTTTGCTTTTGAATGACTTTTTTTTTTTTGTACAGGTCGCGTGGAGCAGTTGGTGAGGGACTTTGGCAGTTCCTGGAAGCCGGCCCTGGAGATGATCAACCAAGACGTCATGCGGTCCTTCACTAACTTCAAGAACGGAACCACCATCCTGCAGGTATTGAACAAGGCTGAGACATTATTACGATAGTCGGAGTTATAGTACACTTTCCAAGTACATTGTTTAGTTGGAATGGAAAGTTAGAGAACATTCCAGTGAGAATAGTGATTGTCCCATTTGGGAATACCTGCTGTTCATACTGAGGACAGTGCATGTTCCCAAATGGGAACAGTGGCCTATGTAGGAGCTTACTAACTCTCAAACTCGTATCTGATTTCATAATTCCACTGTGAAAAATCCTCCTGAAACGGTCGATTCCAACTGCTCTAAACTATCCATAATTGTCAAGAATACTCAGACTTTTTTGTATCTGCTGGATATTTGTCTTTTTTAGAACTGCTTGACCCAGCTGATTCAGTACTACCACCGTTTCCAGAAGGTCCTCTCCCAGCCCCCCTTCAAGAACATGGCGGTGCGCGGCGAGCTCATCAACATCCACCACCTCATGGTAGAGGTCAAGAAATTCAAGCCGGCCTTCTGATAACCAATTCCAGGTGCTGGCTTATTCCACGACTCACACATTTCAAGTTTGAGAACTAATTGATAGATTCCAGGCTTCCTTTTTGGGTGGGAGCCATTCGGGCCGTTCGCCTTGCCCACCAAACATTTCATTGAAGGTATGCCCCTGCCAAAGGGGGTCTTGGGGCTTCACCCTCACCCCTACCCCTTCGGAAAAAAACCCCAAATTGTCGGCCCTCCACCCCCTGCCTACCCCCCCCCCCAAATTTGTAAGCCCCCAACTCTGCGGCATTCTTGGGCAAGTCATGCAGAATTCTGTGCCTTTTGGGGGGGGGCTCTGTATCAAAAACAGGTGGTTCACAATGCAGTGGGACACCACGAGGTTGCCACCAGAGAGCCTTTCTACAGTGCATTGTGGCAAATCAGTCAACAAAGTTCTATTCATCAGCTGCACTGTACGCAGGGAAGTTGAATTTTGTACCTCCAACGTTGGAATGTACCTCCAACGGCTGGTAGGCCTATAAAGTGGGAGGGGCAAAATAACTACCTTTTCAAAGGTGGGGGGGACACCAGCCCCCATCATCTGCTGCTTATGTGCATTATTATCACATGAAAAGAATTGTTGGATACTCGGAAAATACCCCACAGATGCATTGCTATATCGAATTTTGCCTCTGAGAAAACGTCTAGACAAGGTGCCTTTAACTTTGTCAACTTAAAAGGACATCAGAACACCTTCATCTAGGTGTATTAAAATGAGACTTTCTTTTCAGCAAACGAGTTTCATCGATTATGTGAATCACTGTAAAAAGTACCATCGCGTTAACATTTGAAGTGTGTAAATATTGATGTCTTATTATCATCTCATTGGTAACAAATGCAATAGTGAAACCAGCTATTTAATCATAACATTTTGTGTATTTCGATTGTAAAAAACAATTGTGAATATATCAAAAGGACATTGCATCATTACTGTTCTTACTGTGTATTCTGTTTTTGTTCTGTTCTGTTTTTGAGCTTCAATATAAATAAATAAATTTGGCTAGTTTTGGCAATGTTGCCTTGCTTGAAAATTGCGGGAGCTTAGTCTCATCTGCATTCCCACCTATTCTCTTTTGAAAGGTTGGATTTAAAGGTTGCACAAGAAACAAAGTGGGCTTATGGTGCATTAGTATTTCTGATCTGTTTACGGAAAGGTCAATATTGCACAGAATTTTAATTAAAATGCAAGGTTGACCCCTTGTATTTTTGTTTATTTTTGCCAAAAAAAAAAAGAACGATGGATTTCCTTGAAAAGTGCAGATGAGATGTTTTTCAACAAATGGACTATTAAAAAGAAAACACACAAATTTTAAAAATTGGACAGATTTTTCTCATCCATAAATTCCATCTTTTTGCCCAAATCTCTTATATAACAGCCATACACATCATGAAATGCTAATACCTTGTGCCCAAAAGCATTTTGGAGTTGTTTGCAGAAAAGTCAACTCCTTACCAGTTTTTAATTAAAATGCAAGGTTAACCCCTTGCAGGTTTTTGTTAAAATCTAGGCTGAAAATGTGAAAAACAAGTAGAAAGGATGCCTTTGGGTATCTACAACTGTAATATTCCATAGCACTTTCTGGTTGCATCATTCAGAAGGCAAGGTTTTCAAAAATGTCAAACATCTGAAGGTAACGTTTCAGCCCCAGGTGTCCAAAATAACCTTCATGTTTTCATATCAAACCATAAAAAATGTAGTTATTTGTGGAGAGGCGGGAAGGAAGGGGATTTTCTTGTGGTCACATTCTCCTTTTATGCATTTCTACCCTAAACATTTTACACAAATAACGGGTTTCAAACACGCACAAATAACCAGGACTTGCAGTCACCAATATTTTTTTCTGAGATTTGTTGGCATATTATTTTCATACACATATACACATCAGAGACACATTACACCATTTGCCATTCTTTACAATGTATATATATACACATCGAGTCTGTCCAGCCAATTTTTAGACTGTATAGTGCAGTTTATACATTGATGCATTTTATACAGAAGTCATCCATTTGGAAACATTTGCATATTAATACACACACAGCGAGCAAATTTTGTCCGCACATGCAATGCTTGAGAACCATGTACAAAGTTTACTGTTTTGTATAAATACTGCCGACCTGCCAAAGTACATGTAACATAAGTCTGTGCATTACTTGTAATATGTCAATTCTTATGTACAAGTCATCTGAGTATGACACAATTTTACAAAAACTCTTCAATCTAACCTCAGTTTAAAGGAATGTTCCTTAGTTTTGAGATTGATAATGCTCGCATTTGTAATTAATACACTATACATGGCATTCTTTTCCCAAAAATGTACATACGTGGTTTTGAATTTTGATACAGAGGAGTTTAGCCCTTGTATTAAAAAAAATAATAAATTAGAAAAAAATTACTGATAAAAGAAAAATCTAAATTGCCGATTATTTAAACTGAAGGTACTTTAAAATGTGGAAGCCATTTAAAAAGTATCCCGATGCAAACCCATGATATACTTAACCCCCATCAGACACATATTACAAAACCATAGATATATAGCATCCTTTTTTTTTAAATATTGCAATACAAATTACAAACTATTCACGCAAATAAATTAGCAGACACCAAAAAATAATATAAATGTACAATTCACATAGCATTAGACACAGTTTAAAATCACCAATTACATCTGTCCTTACCAGGGAGAAACCAGGATTTGTTTTGCCTTATGGCTGCCATTGTACATTGACAACCAGTGACTTCTAGATAGAATGCAGTGTGGCACCTAGAATCCTAGACTGGTAACATAACGAAAGTCAGCATTTTACAATGCAGGTATCGGGCTGCTACTCTCGTTTCTTTCACATTCTGGGATTTTGCCTAAAGCTGTTGCAAAATAATTTGTTGTGGACAGAATTAAGTCTTCAGAGCAATTTTTAACACCTCTGTAATCTTACACCCTTGATTTAAAAAAAAATATTTAAAGAAAAAAACTTGGTGGTTAACAAACCTGTATCTATGAATTCAATTAATTACCAGATGTAAAGCACCTAACGGTTTCAGCCAAGTTTAATATATGAATGCCTATACCAAATAGCATTACCATAAATTGTAAGACAGAAGTGGTTACAATTTGAAAACATAAATTAACACTTAGTATAAAAATCAACTAAATTCTGCTCTGATTACAAAACCGTTTCTTTTTGTTCATTTGCATCTTAAGAGTAGAAATATATCACCCTAATGGAGGATTATGGGTCCTTGGACCTGTTGAATAAAACAGAAACGCTTGCGTAAGAAACATTTCTAAGGACGGATGGGGCCACTAGATTGAGAAGTATTCTAGGTTTTTGAGCGGGCAAAAGTTGCGATCATGGCATGTACATGTACTATCATGAAGTTATTTGACAAACTACATTTTATGGACCGGACATTTTATAGCAAAATGGCTACAGGTAAATTTGGGTCACTTTGTGTCTTTTTTCTAGGTAACTTAATTTGGTCTTTCTGTGATCTGCATATTTCACTATTTTTTAATTATGCGCACTGGGTATGGTTCAGAAAAGCCACGTTTGTACAGAAATATTTGCCCCACAAGATTTCATATATTAGTTATATTAGGTTGTTATAACAACTACGTATACCTTAGTCCTATCAGTTGCAGAAAAGTTATCGAGTAGAAAATGTATGCATTAGAGTCATTTCTAAGTATACCTTGAAAGCTCTTTGTACACATGTGCGGCTAGATATCAGCGTCTTCCACACAAGCGAACACTATGGTCTTGTTCCCAAGGAGAGTGGCGCAAAATCCCTACACAGTGGCTAAACAGAGAGCAGGTACCAATCCATCCTGGAGATAGGCTTGTGTGATGGAACTCAATTGCTATGCATCTGCAGCATTCAATTTATACTTACAATTTTCTTTGGCATCTTGCAGGATTGTTTAGAATTATTTTCAATATGTACATACAACCAATCAAAGGCCCTCCCACATAACCTACGACCTCTAACCTATGACCTATAACTAGTATTACACCAACTAAAAACTACACCCCTCCCAAAGTATCAATATTACGGCACTTGAAGCAATTTGTATAAAATAAAGTTGAAAAAATAAATAAATAATAAAAACTTTGGAAATAAAACAGAAGACCCACAAAAACAAGATAAGATAAAAATCTTGAGATTTTGGGGTCAAAATAACAAACAGATTGTGAGTGGCACATGGTTTAAAATGGTGAACTGTGTATTCGTTGAATGCTAGCTATTCTATGCAGCCTTACAAACAGATACGTTTGATTTCCTAAAGTGCTGTGACAGATTTATAATGATTCTACCTCGAGCGAGAGGATAGCCCGCATATTTGGCAAAAACAACAATAAAACAAAGTGAACTCTGCCAGCATGGGTCTTATTTGGATGTGTTGATAATGAAGTTTCTGCAAACTGTCTTAAGACCGGGAATAAATCTCACTTTAAATACAACAACAGGTCAACAAAGAAAAACAAAAAACCCAATAATTAAATCCACCATAATAAAACAAATAACAAAATTATGGGAAAAAAAAGGTAACTCACACACAATGTCCTATAATGGCAATTTGGTAAAAATTACTAAAGAATCTCTACATTTTGTCAAAAATGCAACATTCTCTACTGTCCACTCTGCCTTAAAAACCACGTTTAGACTGCACATGCCGAGGATTGCGCATTAACCGTTTCTTTTCATACTAGGCACTGCTGAGTATAAATAATATAGTCTTGTTTTCTTTCTTTTTATACAAAAAAAATTGGCCAAAGAGCACTTACGACAATGTACAGGTCCCATTCAGTCAGTCAGAAATTTACACGACCTTTTTTACAATCCCCGTTGTTTGTGTCTTCCTCCTTTATAAATAGTCACATCTGCAGGCATTAAAGACTTTGTCACAGATTTTCTGAAGAGAGCAAAAAACCCCAACCATCTTTATGCATTGAAATCAAGCCAGAATTTTGCTGAAACGCTTTAGAGTTCTATGATCATTTCTAAGCGAGAGCCGTGCGAAGGACGAAGACAGCATATCATTTGCTACAAACATCACTGGCTAGGAAAAGGCTTTTATTAAGGAAGATGCTTTCTATGGTATCAACTGGAAGCCTAGGGATTTCAGCAGATTTTGTAGAACTTGCAGACTTGTGGATATCATTTATATTTGCATTTTAAAGATACACTGCTTGAAACACCTATCAAGTATGACACTTGACTATAAACTTGAAGGAATATTTGTGTGTGCGCGCAAGTGGGTACAGATAATTTCATTTCTTCACCAGAAATGCTGCTGCAGCATTTGAATGCAATAATTTAATTCCTATTTCATTTCGTGGATCAAATCAATAAGATCCATCCTGTGCCTGAACTTTAACCTTTCCGGGACTAAAAACGTGTTTGTGTGTACAGAAGCATTAGTGTATTATTGACATACTTTAAGAATGCAAGTCCTCATAGTTCCGAGTTCACATTTTATTTCTTACCCAGGTTTACCTATGCAGTTTATCAGAATTCAATTTCTGGCTCTTGAGGTGTCATCCTCGCTCGTCGCCTGTCCTGAATCCTGTTCAACGCCATTGCAGTGTCCGTCAGCAGCGAGTCAAAGATGGCCTCCGTCAGCTGCATTTTGACGGCGAGTTCATCGTCGTCGTAATTCACCCACTCCTGCTCCTCCTCCCGGAGCTCCAACGTCAGAATCTCATCCACGTGGTCTTTCTTCTTCTTGCCACCGAAGCGGGCCAGTGCTGGGTCCGGCTTGGGCCGGCCAGCGAGCCCGGTCACAAACAGCGCCCGGTCTTCCACCACCTGGGCCAGGTCGGGGAGCTCCCGGGGCGGCCTGTCGAAGAAGTACTTGCGGGGTCTACGCTTGGTCTTGGTCCAGGGCAGCTGCTCGCCTTGCTCCTGCTCTGAGGTGATGTCCTGGTAGGCCTCTCCGACAAGGTCAAAGATGAGCCGCTTGTAGGATCTCTGGCTGGTGCTCTCGATGTCCGAGCCCTGGATGTCTTCACCCATGATCTCGGCCGGAGGGAAGAGGGAGGCCGTCCTCTCCCCAAGGACAGCCTTCTCGTGAACAACTTGGACAGACCTGCCTACCAGGGACTTTACGTCTCTGCGGTTGTGGGGGATGGCATAGAAAGGCTCCTGGGCGATCCGGGTCAGGTCAAGCCGGCTGGGCTCCGGGGTGCTGGGGCTGGGTGGCAGGGAGCGGACCGACACTTCCTGGCTCCGCACTGGCACCTGGATGATGCTCTTGCTCTTGGGCATGGAGCCGAAGTCGTCATCGAACCACTCTTGCTCCCCAAACAGGTCCCCCTCAAAGATGTCAGCATTCAACTGCTGCATTTGCTCCAACTTCTCACTGAGGGCTTCTGGGTTAAAGCCACTGGACTCTCCAAAAACCGGAGATCCCGGCCGGGCCACTGGAAACTGATCCTGATCTTTCAGATCCAAATTGTTCGTCTCCACCTTGACGCGGTTGATAAAGATGTCGTCATCCAGTGTTGCGTCCTCTTGGGGGATGGGGCTCTCACTGTCTGGCGTGTATGGGGTAGCAACCCGAACAAAGGGGGATGGGCAGGGTGTCTCTGGGGAGGGTGACTTGGGTGATTCAGGCAGAGATGTAGTTCTGAGGTTACCCTCTGATTCTTTCTGTTTGGCACGTTTGTTTCTCAGAGTCATGATTTCTGTGATGGCCTCAGTGAGAAGGGTCTGGGTGGTGGAGTCAATTTTCCTCTTGATTGCGACCTTTTGATTGGCTTTCTCGTCCACTTTGTCTTGCCTTTCTCCCTTATCCTGCATAACATCTCTTGTAGACTTGATGGCATCATCCTGAACAAGCATCCCAAGCAGAGATCCACTTGGCTTCTCTGTTGAGGTGCTTCTCAAGGAGCCCTTTGCTTCGCTGATCTCCTTTCTGCCATCGTCCTGTAGTGTGTGCCTCTCAGCCACCTCTGCGATAGCTTTCACTGAGTCCTTCATCACTATTGCTGTCAGGTGGTCTGTGATGGAGTCCACCAACTGCTCCTTTGATCGGGAAGGTGAAGCTTCCTGTTCAGGAGCTCCTCGCGGTGTCTGGGCATCTGCAGACTGAGGAAAGATATGATTAATATCATCCTCATGGAAGGACTCCACAGCTGCTGCTGCCGAGCTAATCAGGGCAGCTAAAGCAGCATCGTCGGTCATCGGTTCTGAGAGATCTTCGACCACTGAGTCATCGTCCGTGGCTTCTGACTTCAGCACCTGAGCCAGGGGTTTGATGGGCTCAGATGGGGTCTTGGAGGACAGGGATGACAGCAGAGAGTATTCGGGCTTGTCGTTCTCCTTGTCCTTGAGACCCTGCAAGATCTTCCTTTGGCTGATGTTGGAGCCTTCCGAGGCCACACTGGGCAAGTCCTCTTCGACGGGCGAGTCTTCCTCAGGTTCCGTCTCCTCTCTTTCCGGCTCAGGAGCGAGGTGCTCAAGTCTGTCGGCTGGGACAAACATCCCGTGGCTCGGTTTGCACTGGAAGTACACATGTCCGTCTAGCGATCCGTCATTTGTTCCCTTCTGGTCATCGAGTTCAACACCACCCCACCAGCCTGGTGCAAAGTGGGTCATCCCCTTAAAAAGTAGGGTTCCCTGTTCTTTGCTGCCAACCATCACACGGTCCCCGATCTGGTATCCCGTGAAGTCCTGGGACGTCTCTAGCTGTTCCTCCTGAGGAGACGGCACAGGCGTTCTCTCATCATCTTCGCTGACAGCTTCCAGCTTCTCCTGCTCTTCACTGCTGCCCCTCTCAGAGACGGTTACTTCGGGAGCAACCTCTAGGTCATTTTTTGCAGCTTCAAGGGAGAGTTTGCCTGGCGACAGAATGAACGAAGGCTTTCCGCTGCTTGCAAAACTGGGCTCCGAGGGTTCACTGGCAATGGAGAGCTGCTCGCTGATGTCGTCGTCTGTGTCTTCCAAGTAGCTCTCCTTGTTCTTGACCCCGATGGAGATGGATGACTCCACAAAGTCTTCACTGTAGCTTGCACCTGATTGCTCACTCTGAGTTCGAGATCGATGGGACGATCGCACTGAGCTTGAGAGCGAGTATGATTTCTCACTCTTCTGGGAGAGGTCATCTGCAGAGCGACCAGCTACAAGAGCTGGTGATTTCTTCTCCAGCGTTTCAACATTCTCAGCAGGTTCTGTCTTTGGAGAATATTTTCTTTCGTCCAAGACAATCTTCTTGGAGATGGACCTGATAGAGTCTTGTGAAAGCGAGCTTCCTGCAGAAAAGACCTCCTCAGGGACAGTCGAAGCTTCAGACTGTTCTGACCTCTGATCTTTGACCTCCTGATATTCCTCCCGGGCCTTCACAGAGAGGCTAGCTTTCTGAACATCCGTTTCAACATCAGATCTAGGCGACTCTTTGAGAGAGATCTCAGGTGTGGCTGAGACAGAGCTGTACGCGGACGGAACGTCCTCCGAAACTTCCGACAAGGCAGAGGAGTCCCTCTGCTCTTCACATTCTTCTAGGTGCTGTGGTCCTCCCCTACGGTGGGACAATTCATCAGGGCTCTGGCTCTTCCGGCTTGCAGTCACCACTCTCTGGGAGTCTTCATCTGAAGTGCTGCTGGACGTCCTTTCAAAGACCTCCTCAGAGATACTGGCAGAGATGCTGCTCTTGTCTCGCTTGGTGGAAGGGGATGGTGAAAGTGATTTGGGAGGAGGAGGAGTGGTATCTATTTAACAAAAAGAGATGAACGAGTGGTTAATGTTGATATTTAAATATGCTTGAACTGTTTCTAAAGATCAAATTCTTGTAAGATTGTTCAAACATTTCTTGATTCTTGTGGAGACCCCACTGATAGCCAACACCCAGGTCCAATGACCAGAAATCTGACCCATTCCATGTGTTGAGGCACTTGGGACATATGAGATGAAATAATGTAACTGTTCTAGTAACAGAACTGTTAAAAGTAAGTGTCCTTCTCAAATTTCTTTTCTGAGCTGTAGTGTGCAAATTACTGGCATGTTTGTCTATACAAAGCAGTTGGAAACAAATGATTATGAAAACTCACCCTCAGCAAGTCGTGGGGTTGTGGGTGGGGTAAACACTGAGCCCACGGATGAGTAGGAGTGGTCCCTTCCCAGCCCCGCCTCCTCATCCAAGCTGGACCGGCTGGACATGCTGCCCTCTGACACCGACCGCTGTTTGTGCATGGCCCCACCCAGCTCCGCCCGCCCGTCCCGCCCACTGCTGCTCTCCGAGGCTGTGCGCTGGCGCAGGGAGCGGGTGTGGGAGCGGTCCTTGAGGCGTTGGGCCTCTGTCAGCCGCAGCTGCTTGATTTGAGGCTTGACAGCCATTGATGAAGCAGATTTCGCACCGGCGGCCTCCGACTCATTCTTGAGCTCGGCCTTGGTCTTTTCAATAAGCTTGTCGTAAGCCTGACGGAAAAGATTGAGATTGCAAGAAATCAAACAACAGAAAGACCCAGGCAGGTCAAGTACGAGCATGTGTGGCAGGTTTTTTTGCCATCTTTGAGAAAAGGGAATACAGATTCTAACTACTTCTTTGACAACCCCCTACTAGAGTTGACTTAATGAAGCACACGTATCTATGGGAAGTGGCTACAGCTGCAAACCAATGGCTTCTCTATTTCCAGTCACAGCCGAAACTGATTTTTTTTTCAGTAGACTGGGCTAACTTCAAATTACGGCTGTGGCTTGAAGTAAAGCAGGTGTCTATGGAAAGTGGCTACAAAAACTAACTAGTAGTTTCCATAGGACTAAGTTAATTCCAGCCATAGCCACAACTTTCAATCACAGCCTACTTGTACAAATGACTTTGCCTATAGAAGCCATCCAGTATTTCATGGCAATACTTACCTCCAGCTGTTTCTTCAGACTAGCCTCCTGGGCTTTCAGCTTCTCCCGCTGCATACGTTTCTGCTGTCGCCGCAGCTTGTCTGCCTCCATCTTGCGTTTCCTTAGCTCGGACTCCAACGCCTTGACGCGCCCCTCGATGTCGCTCTGGTCAGATGCAATTTCTGACATGAAAGGAACCACGCCTTTTAGGTTAAATTGAACCGTGGGATGTTTACATGTTTATTCAAAATCTGCTAACAGATTTTCCCAAACGTTTAAATGGAACCCCCTCCCCTTTTAGAGGTTTGATGTTTTGACTGACGCAATCTGGCACCCGTTTTTATTGTAAGTGATGCCCGTAACGTAATCTGATTTTCAGAACACTGTACTGCTCAATCATATCAAAGGAATACCGTGAACTCATCACCGGAACTTTGTGTCAACTCTTTACATTGTATACAATTTGTTGTGCTTAAAGTTTTCAATGACACCGTAGTATAAAAGGATACGACAGTTACACATTTAAATGGTACGGGAAAGTTTTCTAAACGTTTTTCAAACTGAAGTAAATTCCCACCCTTACCTGAATTAAATCAATCCAACTTGTTTGTAGGATGATTACTAAACTTTGGATTAATTAGCACACAAGTAAGGCATGCATGAAATATTTATTGCCTTTTTCAATGCGTTGAGGCAAAGTACAGTAAGCCTTGGGAGATATTTTAAGGCTGAGAGAACAAAATGTGGGAAGCACAAACATGAGTTGACAAAACAATTACAAAAACAAACTTCCATACTAACTGCGAATTTAGGCTACAGCCAAAGTCACAGCGTTGTATTTACCAAAAACATTAGCATGAAGCAAAATAAAAACTCGGAGGATTTTATTTTGACCAGTGCCATGTTCCAAAGATGAATAATTTCCATCTATGAACGTAAGTGAAACTGGCCAAGAATTGACTGACTATTGCACTGAGTCTCTCCTATGAACCAGCCTCACAATCTGCAGAAACAATGTCAGCTCAGGGAAACTTCCAAGCGCCAATTATTTCTCAGAATAGTTGGAAAGTAACCTCATGCTCAAATGTTAGACAAGTTTGTTGTCCAGGAATATTTCAACGGCAGTTGACCATATAAAGTTAGAGCAGTCATACGAAGAGGCTTACCAGACACGGTTTGCGAGAAGGACTTCTCTGATTCTGACCCACTCTCTGACTCCAGGATCCGGCGGTGGGGAGACAGGGGGGCACGGAACGAGTCTAGGCTGGACGGAGGGGTGCTGTGCTGGGAGGAGCGGAGGGGTATTGTGGCCGCCGCGGCCGGCGGCGGTGGTGCAGGGGAGGACCTCGCCGGTGTGAGGGTGCGATCGGCCGACTCAAAGGACTCGCTGGTGTACTCCTCCAAGATGGAGTCCGAGTGCTTGAGGGTGTCGTCATTGCTGGGGACGGAGGCCGTCCGAGTAGTGCTGCAGAAAAACACACGGAAAACCCGGTTTTGATGACAGTTCGGTCAGACCAAATTTTTCTAAAAACCTTTCTTCTAAGCATCGTCCTTCACAACAGAGAAGAGCTCAAGAGTGTAACAGGCCTGCAAAATTTGTGCCTAAAGTTTCAGGTTAACAGGAAACATGAACACATAAATTTAGAGCAAATGTTTCATCTAAAATTTAAAAAAAAACTAAAACCTAAACACCTGAACCAAAAGGGCTGACATTCCTGACAATCTACCGATGATAAATTCAGCGATGCAGGCATTATAGTCTTAATGCTCTGTCATAATATCCAATTAATGCTCATTCCTGGCTTCTAAGAAAGACATCATCAAAACTCACACCTGGCATACTTGACGCCATAAACAAGTTTTTGTTTCTGCAAGGCCTAGTGATTGATGTATTTGGCAATCAAGGAAATGAACGCCATGGTTGAGTGGTCAACACTAGGGGTTCTGACCTGTAAGAGTTCACACTATGGCCATCGTTATGAATGCGTTTACTTCACTTGCACGGCACAAGCATACTTAATTGGCTCGAGATATTAAGGTGTACAGACTTCCTGCTCAAGGTGATATGCTTTTAAAGGAATGCAACAACGAGCAGTGACACAAAAGCAGTTCTACACATAGATGGCGCGTTTCCTAGGACACTTTTGGGAAAAAAAATTGTCTCGACTTTTTTCTTTGCTCACGTATCTTGAAGATAACATGTAACTGAATGAACGCTCTGCACTTCGGAGTCTTGGAGCAACAATTGTCTATCATATAGTGCGTAGTAAATAGCAGCTTTGAACCAGTGACACGCTGCATACAATCAACATCATTTTGGCCGGTAACCTGTTTTTGCTAGGTGAATTTTTTTTCTGCACTGAACAAATCACTGTACTGAGCTGGTCCATGATATATGCACCTAAATTGACTGTGAGATGTACCTGATCTTCGGCGATGAGTCAGAAATGACCTCCTCTGGCACGCTACTGTCATGACTGATGTCCTCGGGGACGGAGCCGCTGCTTGCCTGACGCCCATCCTCTTCTCGTCTCCCCTCCTCTCGAGCATGGGGCCGAGTACTATCGGCGTCCATCACTGCCTCCGAAGTGATACGGGAGGCCGAGTCCGAGTCACGGGCGGAGTCATCCCTCAGGGCTTGGTGGGATGGGGGCAGGGCCTTCATGGGTGGGCGCGACTTGGCAGTCCCGCCACTGCTGTCAAGCCGTCGCATGGCCTCGCGTTCCATGCTGACCACCTGCTTCTCCTCTTCGTCCAGCCGTCGCTGCCAGGCCAGCAGCTCCTCGGCATTTCGTCTCCGCTTGGTCAGCTGCTGTTCGCGCTTGGTCAGGTACCTGTCGAGGCAAAGCCAGTGAGCCAGGTGGATTATTAGTACATTGAGCACACAGAGGGAGTCATGGACCATGACCATGACTGACTTGATTTCATGGCCATATGGCTATCATAATTGGTATTTATTACAAGTATTACTGGGTCACACACTCCAGGATACCTCCTGTATGATCAAAACTAGCAACCTTCAACACAGGTTTATATAGCAAAAAGTGTTATATAAACTTAATTCTACATTTACAGTACTGGACAAAAAATATTACCAGCAAAAAATTCAACACACAAAACTGCTAAGATCAGGTTGACCGTACCACTTTGTAATGGGAAGGGGAGGCATTCTAACCATCTTACTTGAGCATTAATTTATGAATATGGTTAAGATGATGAAAACTAAAGGATGGTGTTTTGTGGGGTTTTGATGGATCCAGGCAGCACAATCCAGTCACTATTAACTTGCACGGGCCACAAGGTATTTTGCTCAAGGAAGAATATGCCATTAGTTAACTGTACGATATGGGATGTTGGTAGATTCAGCAAGCTTACTTTAAGTATAGCCATCCCTGAATGAGATGTGTAGCAAGGGAACTTACTTCATGCTGAGAGGCTGTTGCATCTTCTTGAGTTTCAGCATGACCTGAGCTTGCTTCTCAGCTGGCGTTAATTCACCTTTGACACTGCCCTCCTTATCGTAGGCAGGCCCCACCCCTGGCTGGAGCTTCTTCTCCTCCCCTTCCTCCACCGCGTTGGGCACAGAGGGGCTGTCTGGGGAAGAGTCTGACAGGACCTCAGGGAGGTCGGGCGAGGTAGGGCTGGGAGAGGCCGCAACGCTGGCCTGGTCTGAGCCACTGAGGGCACCGCCGAGGGATGAGCTGATGGAAACGTTGGACAGGTCGCGCATCTGAACCCGGACGGCCTCGGTAGCCTTGCGCATGCGCGCAATCTCCTGCTGCTGATACAGGAGCAGTTGCCGCTCGTGGCTGGCTGCTTTCTGGGCAGCGCGCAGGCGTCGAATCTCCGCCTACCGATTGGTGAGAAAAATCCAAAAATTACACCAACACCAAAAATATTATCACAGTGAGAACTATTTCAGGGAGGTTAACGGTGACAGAGCAAATGATGTCTTTGTCATGACTGAAATTCAAAGGGTATCATTGTTGAGGCACTTCATAGTCTACCTCAAAATTTTTTCAATAAAAATGCTACCGTTATCTTAATTTGTTACAAACATACATATGGCAACATTTTAAAATTCTTTCACTGCAAGACCTTTTACTGACACAACCGTGAATGCTTGTGAACAAATTTACTGAGGCCCTATCTGATTCACTGGCTGTGGCTGGGAGCCACTTACAAGTCTATAAGAAGTGGCAGTAGCCACAAGCCAGTGGCTTTCACAGGGCATGTGTTATTTGTAGCCACAGCCGCAAGTTTTGGCCATGGCTCGTCCCTCTCACCTGTTCTTGTTGGACCCTGGTCACCAGCACCTGCTGTCTCTTGCGGGCCGCCTGCAGCTTCTCTGTGTCCCCGCTCTCCTTGTATCGTTTCTTCTCATGTTCCAGCCACTCCAGTTCCACCTTGGCTTTCTCCATCAACGTCTTCTCCCGCAGCTTGAAGAGTGCCGCCTGTTGGCGGGCACGCACCTCCTCATCGCGCAGCTGCTGTCGCAACATCTCCGCTGACAGCGTGAAGGAATCGTCCAGGTCAAGGGTGAGGTCACTGACCATGTGCGGGGGCCGGCGGACTTCGTCTTTCGCCCGGATGGGGGTGCTGGTGGACGATGGGGTGAGACTTGGGGATGTCTTGGTCCTGGACTCGCCTGAGGAACTGTAATAGCTAGAATGCTGCTTGTCGGGGATGTCTTCAGCAATGCTTGGGCTCCTGACTGTGCTCACTGCATCAACGTCGGAGGCCGTTTTGATAGAGGAGTTGCTCCGTCGGCTCAGAGAGAAGTCAACCTTCGCAGGAGAAAAGCCAGACTCTGTTGGAATAGACGGGCTGGAACCATCCTGAGTGCTGGGGACGTCACTAGCTGTCCGGATGGAATCTGACCCATTCGGGGATTTGGGCCATCTTGGACGGGTGTGGTCGCTCACTGGGGACAGAGAGCTGGCCTTGGGGATGGTGCCTGTGCTGACAGAGTTTGTTGGCGAGCGCCGGGACTTGGCGCTGTCAGTGAAATCATCCGTGTAGTCCTGTTTTGGGGAGTGTGGACTGTCCGAGCGACCGCTCGCACTGCTGTTGCTGTGGCTGGTGTAGCTGGCCTGGGTGCCAGAGTAACTGGCCTGGCTTGGCTGACCCCCGGACAGAGCTGTACGGTCAACCACACCAAGTGACCTGTGTACGCCATGAAAGGAAATAGATTTCAAGATGGACCCACTTGACTGAGTGATTGAGAAAAATCAAAATCATGTTACTGGCCAACACTGGCGCACTTCGCTTGTAGTTGGTTGGCAGCTATGTTTGCTTAGAACCAATGCTTCAAGCTTCAGTGAGTACCGAAAGCAGAGAGGTTTCAATGCTCAGGCACAGGCAAGGAACAAATTTGGAACTGCATGAGGACCAACTGATCCCAGGTGACCAATTGAGAATATGCAAGTAAATCTGAGCCAAACCAACCTGGTGTGTACAGCTGGAGTTGGTGGGGCCAGAGGGCCCTTCATCTCCTTCAGGAACTCAATCTGCTGCAGACGCTGCTGCTCCAAGGCAGCTGTCACTGCCGCTGTGGTCGCTGCTGTAGCCGTGTCTGAGGCCAGCTTGCCCGGGTCGTAGCTGGGTGGCGGGGGCTGTGCGGGCATCCGCTGGGCCTGCGATACAAGTAATGACTTGAAAATGATCACAAGTTGTGTACAGGACAAATGAGAGCTCTATCCTAACTGCTGTTAATCAAAATGTTGATTAACATGCAGGTTGCCAGCCAAAATGTCAAGAGATGTCTATGGGCACCAACTGGTTCCCAGCGATTCTTGCTTTGAAACTGACCCCGCTAAGCAATGTTAAACTTTGCAGAAATAACCCTGCAAAGTTTTCACCTTTTGACACTTTCCCTGTAGGTGTCATGTTTGGCCAATTAGCCAGATTGTCATGTCAGTGTAACAAGGTAGTAACTCTCATTTGTTCTGTACACGAGATACGACCTTGTTGCTCTAACGTAATGAGACATACATGTATCAATACCCTCCAAACAAAGGGTTTTGGAGGATGTCGTACTTTATCAGCAAAGATTTTAAAGGGGGTGAATTAGCAGTTGTCATCTGTAGAGCAAAGAATTACTTAAGCTTTCCTTCAAGTGTGTTGCTGACCCTAACTGGAATAATGTTTCTAAAGCAAAGAGTGAGGCAGTTATAAAGAGTGGATATTGAAGTGACTTGGAGGACAGAATGGAGCAACGGTCAAGACAGAAATCTGGGTATTCACCTCGGCCATCTGTTTGGCGGCCTCTGCAGTGACTCGGGCGGCTTCGGCCTGGGTCTCCATCAGCCGGCGTGCATTCTCGCTGACCGCATCGGCGGCCTCGCGCCGCGCCTGGGCGAGGACACGCTCAGCATCAGATGCTGTCTCCACAGCACGCTGTCGGACAACCTAGGGACGTGAAATTCGAGGAAAAATTTTTTTGCGAAATGTGGAATATTTGTCAAACAGCTGTGAGTACTACTAAAGCAACTTGGAGTACTAATGAAGCAACTTGGAGTACTTGGAATACACTTTGAATACTAGGG